GAGCGGATGTCTGTCATCTGGGACAAGGCCGTGGTAAGGACCAAGGTCATAGGAGGGCATCCAGGGCCAGATCAGAGCCTCCTGCCGCTGCTCCTCTTTGCCCTGTCACGGGGGTGCTGGGGGCACAGATGAGGCCTCATACCTGCCCAGGTGTCTCTGGAGCCAGGTGGCTCAGGTGGTTTGGGAATGTTCCTTCTAGAGTGATGAATCCTGGGGCCTGAGGTTCTGAGGAGGCCTCCTCTAGATTGTTAAGGGCTAGGAACCAGAAACACAGATCATTTATCTGATGGTATGAATGATCTGTGCTTAAAATAATAGTGAATTAAAAATTCTTTTTGTTTGGAGGGTTTTATTATCTCTTTTGAGAGGGTTGGATATAACCCTCTGAAATGATAAGCAAGGGGTCTGTGACTAAGACTCAAGTCATTTGCTCACCAAGGAGTGGCGTGTGGTCATCCAGGCTGTACAGGTGATTGTCTGTCAAAGTCTTCTGGCAAAGTGGCCTGGTTTTATTTTCCTTGTTTAACATCACAGAAGCTGAAAAAAAAAAAAAAAAAAAGAAAGTCATGCAAATGAAGTCACTTCCTAAGATTTGAGTAAAATTAGTAAATAAGTCATTATTAAGTTGATCACTTCCCTCTGTTTTATTTTTAAAACCCTGAAGCCACTCATTTTAGAGCCAAATAGAATACATATCCACACAGTGTAATCCAAGTTTCCCTTTTCTTGGCTCCCAGGAAGCGCAAAACTAGATGTTAAACTAAATTCTTCTTTCCTTACCCAAGTTGTTTTGTGAAGGGGGAAAGTATAAATATTTGTGTCTCTTCTCTTACAAACTTAGATTTTTTTTGTCTTTTTTTTACACTGTTATCTGTTTATGAATGTGTGTATATATATTTATCTTGGCACTATCTGGAACTGTTAAAAGTAATATATATTTTAAAATTACCAACATGATACATGCTCAATAAAGAACATTTGGAAAGTATACACGTGAAAGAAAACAAAACTCACTTATAATCCCACAACCCAGGGATAACCATTGTTATCATTTGGGTGAGGTTCTTCCATATTTATCCTGTGTCCATGCAAATACAAACATATTATCTGAGATATGGGCTCATAATTACATTTGCTTTTACTGTGTACTGTCTATAACGCTTTTTAGAGTTAGAAGGGATAAATAAGTAAGTAAATGTATGTACATGTCCAGAAAAAAATGCATACTTCCAGAGCAGTCACTTCCATCTTCTTTATCTTTCTTTTTTTCTTTTTTTTTGAGAAGGATAAGTGTTAGCTCTTCTCTAAACGTTTGACAGAATTCAACTGTGAAGCCATCTGGTCCTGGACTTTTGTTTGTTGGAAGATTTTTGATCACAGTTTCAGTTTCATTACTTGTGATTGGTCTGTTCATATTTTCTGTTTCTTCCTGGTTCAGTCTTGGAAGGTTATTCCTTTCTAAGAATTTGTCCATTTCTTCCAGGTTGTCCAATTTATTGGCATAGAGTTGCTTGTACTAGTCTCTTAGGATGCTTTGTATTTCTGCGGTGTCCGTTGTAACTTCTCCTTTTTCATTTCTAATTTTATTGATTTGAATCCTCTCCCTCTTTTTTTAAATGAGTCTGGCCAGAGGTTTATCAATTTTGTTTATCTTCTCAAAGAACCAGCTTTTAGTTTTATTGATCTTTGCTATTGTTTTCTTTGTTTCTATTTCATTTATTTCTGCTCTGATCTTTATGATTTCTTTCCTTCTACTAACTTTGGGGTTTGTTTGTTCTTCTTTCTCTAGTTCTTTAGGTGTAAGGTTAGATTGTTTATTTGAGATTTTTCTTGTTTCTTGAGGTAGGCTTGTATTGCTATAAACTTCTCTCTTAGAACTGCTTTTGCTGCATCCCATAGGTTTTGGATCGTCGTGTTTTCTTTGTCATTTGTCTGTAGGTATGTTTTGATTTCCTCTTTGGTTTGTTCAGTGATCTCTTGGTTATTTAGTAAGGTATTGTTTAGCCTCCATGTGTTTGTGTTTTTTACGTTTTTTTTTCCCTGTAATTGATTCCTAATCTCATAGTGTTGTGGTTGGAAAAGATGCTTGACATGATTTCAATTTTCTTAAATTTACCAAGGCTTGATTTGTGACCCAAGATGTGATCTATTGTGGAGAATGTTCCCTGTGAACTTGATAAGAAAGTGCAATCTGCTGTTTTCAGATGGAATGTCCTAGAAATATCAGTTAAATCTATCTGGTCTGTTGTGTCATTTAAAGCTTGTGTTTCCTTATTAAGTTTTCTGTCTGGATGATCTGTCCACTGGTGTAAGTGAGGTGTTAAAATCCCCCACTATTATTGTGTTACTGTCGATTTCCTCTTTTATAGCTGTTAGCATTTGCCTTATGTATTGAGGTGATCCTATGTTGGGTGCATACATATTTATAATTGTTATGTGTTCTTCTTGGATTGATCCCTTGATCATTATGTAGTGTCCTTCCTTGTCTCTTGTAACATTCTTTATTTTAAAGTCTATTTTATCTGATATGAGTATTGCTACTCCAGCTTTCTTCTTCTTTATTTTCTTTGCGGTACACGGGCCTCTCACTGTTGTAGCCTCTCCCGTTGCAGAGCACAGGCTGCGGACACGCAGGCTCAGCGGCCATGGCTCACGGGCCTAGCCGCTCCGTGGCATGTGGGATCTTCCTGGACCAGGGCACGAATCCGTGTCCCCGGCATCGGCAGGCGGACTCTCAACCACTGAGCCACCAGGGAAGCCCCCAGCTTTCTTTTGATTTCCATTTGCATGGGAAATCTTTTTCCATCCCTTCACTTTCAGTCTGTATGTGTCCCTAGGTCTGAAGTGGGTCTCTTGTAGACAGCATATATATGGGTCTTGCTTTTGTATCCATTCAGCAAGCCTGTGTCTTTTGGTCGGAGCATTTAATCCATTCACATTTAAGGTAATTACCAATATGTATGTTCCTATTGCCATTTTCTTAATCGTTTTGGGTTTGTTTTTGTAGGTCTTTTTCTTCTCTTGTGTTTCCCACTTAGAGAAGTTCCTTTAGCATTTGTTGGAGAGCTGGTTTTGTGGTGCTGAATTCTCTTAGCTTTTGCTTGTCTGTAAAGCTTTTGATTTCTCCGTCAAATCTGAATGAGATCATTGACGGTTAGAGTAATCTTGGTTGTAGGTTTTCCCCTTTCATCACTTTAAATATATTGTGCTTCTGGCTTGTAGAGTTTCTGCTGAGAAGTCAGCTGTTAACCTTATGGGAGTTCCCTTGTACGTTCCCTTGTATTTGTCGTTTTCCCCTTGTTGCTTTTAATAATTTTTCTTTGTCTTTAATTGTTGTCAATTTGATTACTATGTGGCGCGGCATGTTTCTCCTTGGGTTTATCCTGTATGGGACTCTCTGCGCTTCCTGGACTTGGGTGGCTCTTTCCTTTCCCATGTTAGGGAAGTTTTCAACCATAATCTCTTCAAATATTTTCTCATGTCCTTTCTCTCTCTCTTCTCCTTCTGGGACGCCTATAATGTGAATGTTTGTGCATTTAATGTTGTCCCAGAGGTCTCTCAGGCTGTCTTCATTTCTTTTCATTCTTTTTTCTTTCTTCTGTTCCATGGCAGTGAATTCCACCATTCTGTCTTCCAGGTCACTTCTCCATTCTTCTGCCTCAGTTATTCTGCTGTTGATTCCTTCTAGTGTAGTTTTCATATCAGTTAGTGTATTGTTCATCTCTGTTTGTTTGTTCTTTAATTCTTCTGGTCTTTGTTAAACATTTCTTGCATCTTCTCGATCTTTGCCTCTGTCCTTTTTCTGAGGTCCTGGATCGTATTCACTATCATTATTCTGAATTCTATTTCTGGAAGATTGCCTATCTCCACTTCATTTAGTTGTTTTTCTGGGGTTTTATCTTGTTCCTTCCTCTGGTCCATAGTCCTCTGCCTTTTCGTTTTGTCTGTCTTTCTGTGAATGTGGTTTTTGTTCCACAGGCTGCAGGATTGCAGTTCTTCTTTGTCACTTCCATCTTAAGCCATGCATTTAACCATTTTCTCTGGGTGATGGTGACAGCCCCGCTGATTCTTTAGCTTGCTGGGTGGACTTCTGTGCTCACCATCTCAGAGGTCCCTCTTTGTATATGTGGGCCTTTGTGGTCCCCCTGCTCTGAGCTCAGAAGCCCTAGATGGACCATTTTGTGTATGTACGTTTCAACAGGCCACGGGGAAGATGGATGAAAACCAGTTCGTGGCCGTGACAAGCACAAATGCTGCCAAGATCTTCAACCTGTATCCCCGCAAGGGAAGAATATCTGTGGGCTCTGACAGCGACCTGGTGATCTGGGATCCAGATGCTGTCAAGATCGTCTCTGCGAAGAACCACCAGTCGGTAAGACCCGAGCAGGTGGGAGTGGAGCAGAGTGGGGAATGTGGGCAGGGAACGTGGCTGTGAGAGACGTGTCTTTGTGGTGAACCAGGATAGTCAGGCAGGGACGTGTTGCAATAACAAACCACCCCCAATTCCCAGGGACTTAAAACCTCAACAGTTTCTTTCTCACTCCTGCTTTCCAAAATGGGTCGGCAGAGGAGAGGGGCTCTGCCCATCACAGTCACTCAGGGTTGGGGGCTGGTAGAGGCACCAACTCTCTACACGTGCTATGATTGCTGAGGTCGGGGACCAGGACATGGCTCTGAAAGCTTTTCCAAGATATCACTTCCTCTCACCCTGCACTGGCCAGAGCCAGGCCGGAGGCCATACTTTATTCCAGGAGGTCAGGAAATACAAGGATACCTTGTGCCTAGAAGGAGAAAAAATGGGAAAAAAAATTGGTGAACAGCTCTGATGACTTCCTCTTGAGGAGTTCCATGTGAAAGATGATAAAGTCCGGTACCTAACAGAAAGGGTTTTAAAAATACAGTGCTTGTTAGTAAAAAGAGTATTTTTCAAGCACTTCTGTCTCAGGCACTGTGCTTTTAATTTGTTGAATCTTTGTAACAGTCTTCTTCAGGTAGGCCCTATTATTAAGGAAGTGGAGATGCAGAGGTTAAATAATTTATGCAGCAAGTAAATGGTGAAGCTAGGATTCAAACCCAGATAACTTGACTCCAAACTGATATCCTTAACCACTTTTCAGTAATGCCTTGCACTTATTGAATAAATGAAGGAGGTAGGGAAGAAGCCGATTTGGGGTGGTAGTGGCCTTTGCTTCAACATTGTGTCATATTACATTGTTTAATTTCGAGCTAGTGGGGATTTAAGGGTCATGTAACCCATCTACCCAGTCCAAGATGGCAAATACAGCATCTCTGGTAGTTATCCACCTTCTCTTCGAACACTGCCAGTGACAAAAATTTTCTTCCACGTGAGGACCTTACTTAAGATTGGATGCTTCTCTTGGCCAGGAAGCCCACTCTTAGCAAGCATCTGTCTGCCGAGGCCTCCACCCACTAGAAGCTTGCAGATGCTTTGTTAGCTCTTCCTGGCTTACCTGGTGAATCAGTTCCTAGGGATGCTGAAGGCAGGATCCCAAGCACAGGAGAACCGCGTTCCTCTTTCTGGCCTTACTGCACCCATAACCAAGGCTTTGTCCCTCGCCCCCGTCTCTAGGCTGCAGAGTACAACATCTTTGAAGGGATGGAGCTGCGCGGGGCTCCTCTGGTGGTCATCTGCCAGGGCAAGATCATGCTGGAAGATGGCAACCTGCACGTGACCCAGGGGGCTGGCCGCTTCATTCCCTGCAGCCCCTTCTCGGACTATGTCTACAAGCGCATTAAAGCCCGGAGGAAGGTGAGAAGCAGGCAAAGCCCAGAGGTGGGGGGTGGGGGGGAATGGGCTCTGTGTCCCATTCAGCACAGGGACAGGAACCATGAGATTGGGAGGGGTCTGTGTACTCTAGATCCTCCCAAAGAAATTCACAGCACCGATCTCTTCCCGAAGGACCATTGCACAGATTTAATGGACTATAAAAGGGGACTTTCAAAAACTTTCTTGGCTAAAGAAAGCTTTTTTGCAAACGATTTCCCCCCATTTTTAGAGTGCTTTCCCTTAAAGTAATTGAACATTTTAATAATTCAAAATAAAGTCTGTATCTATTTTTTGTTAATAATTTACTCTTCAAGGCTTACAAAGAGAACCAGCAGTCCACACCCACCCCTCCTTGTTCCATCCCGCATCTGTCTGATGCTGCTCCATTGGGGCAAATGTTTATAACTCTTTTAGCAAGTTCTGTGGTTCATATAAAGTCTTATTTATGTCCCTGATTTCACAGATAAATAGGTAGTTGCATACACAGCCATATGGGTACATGTTTGTGTACACGTCTGCCTACCTCCCTCCACGTTACAGACAGAGTAGCTCTAGCTGATGGAGGGGTGAGGCCCAGAACTCAGTCTTTCCAGCTCCCTCTCCTATCCCCACACTCATCTCCACGTCAGGTGCCTGTAGGGAAACCTTAGGGCTCCTCAAAACAGGGTTTGACCAGCTCTGGGATTGTGGGATTTGAGCCGTGGTACTGACCTCGTCTGTTAGACAGGATAAAGTCATCTGTGCACATGGGATGAGGGAGATGGTGGGAGAGGAGGAGGAAGGTGGCTCCCTTTGTAAGTCACTGGGGGCCAGGCCAGAGGAAACAGAACCATGCCACCTCTGTGCCTGGACCCACCCCAGGGGGTTCCAACTTCCCTGCAGAGTACGTTGCCTGGGAAACAGGCTCTGAAGGGGAGATTTTCACACAGGAGGTTTCCTGGGTGTTGGTTTCAGGATCACCCCTTGTGACAAAATGAAGGAAGCAGAACAGGGCAGAGGGAGAAGTCAGGTTGGGATGCAGCTGTAACCAAGGCCTCAACTGGACCTCAGCTGGGCTGGTCCTTGAAAGGGGTCTGGGCCTTATATTCATTCCCTCTGCACCACCACCCCGCCCCCACTCCCCTGCCAACCTACAAACCAGTATGGGATGTGGGCTGCCCCGGAGCAGAGGGTGGGGCTTTGGGCCTAGCGGTTCTCTTCATCTGAGGGCAGTTCTTGGGTGGGACTCCAGTGAGCCCTTCCTACTGCCAACACCCACACGAGCAGGGAGAATGAGTCTTCAGTCGTGGTGACATTGAGGCGGGGGCTTGGGGACAGGAAATGGGTGCCCACTGCAGTACCTCTTAGAGAGAGAATCACAGAAACTCAATATGTAGGTGCCCCGCCCTACTCCCAGACCCCAGTAAGTGGTCGTCGAGCCTCTGGGTGGATGTTTGCAACACAGGGGGCCTTCCCATCTCATGAGGCAGCTGCCCACCCCTGCCTGTGAGAACCAACTTCTTTTCTTTGTCTGTTTTTGTTTTAAAATTTAATGTTTTATTGGAAGGGGAACAGATAATCCAATCAGTTATAAAATCAAAAATAGAGGATTCTAGAATTATGATGGAGACATAAACATAAATTGAAATAAATTATTCAGAATTCTGAGAAGCCTCTTTTGTGCAAATAGCCCCAGCATGATCTTGGTTGTCCAATTACTGAGCTCATATTTGGGAAGTTCCTTGTAGTTTCAGATGTAGGGTTACCGAGGCAGTTGTTGAGTGGAAGCCAGAGAGAATCCATATCCTCCAGAGCCCAATGGGTGGCAGCAGCCATATCCGTGGCCTCCATAGGAGAACGAACTTCGTTTGTTCTGCAGGTCTACCTCCCTGCAGCCGACCAAGCTCAGTTCTGCTCCAGGCACCTGCACAGAATGAGTTAAACCCATCTGAGCACCTGTGTTTTCCCAGAGTCATCTGTCCTTCGGTCTAAATATCCCTGCAGCCTTCCGCTCTTCATTCATGGCAGTGCTCTAAATCCCTTCACCATTCTTCTCTCTTTATGAGTGGTATTTTAAGGGTAGCTAGTATGGAGTAAAATACCACACTCCAGTTTTGGCCTAATAGAAAAGAGAATGAAACTCAAACGTCCTAGGTATCAGCTTTGTATTTCCGTGAATGTGACTTAGCCTCTGGACCCCAAGAGATGTTAATGAAATACAGTTATTGGTCAAGGTTTGGGGGGAGTACAGATACAGTCATCATCTCACCTGAATCGTTAACATCTGCAAATGTGAGCTTTGCCTCTGCGCCTGCACCTGAGTCACTGATGGAGGCAAGGGAAGCCTCTGTGGCCGGCTTCCTTGGGTCTTACAAGGAGCTGTCCTATGATGTCAGCTGTCAGCGTGTCCTCATTGCCTCACCTCTGGGCAATGATAAGAAACAGGCAGAGGTTGTGCGCTGGCCATTCTGCTGCCTTGGGTGGTCTTGCAGTGTTTGCAATAATAGACTGTGAGCACCTTTGCGGGAGGCGCCCTGTTTCACGTGACCGTGAGCTCTGGTTCCACCACGCCTGGCCTCTGCTAATGTTGCTGGCGGGTTCCATGGTCCCAGGGCAGGTGCTGTGGCACCACAGCCAGAGGCCAGGGGGTCAGACCCACTGAATAAGGACAGTCATTTCAATGACTGTCAATGAGGACAGCCGCTTTTGATCTGTGCTGAGGAGCGTGAGGATGGAGCTCCCATGCGGTCCGCCAGCACTTATGACCTTATCTCAAACTGCTACCCTCCCCACCTGCTCTGCTCCAGCCGCATGGGTGGTTCTTCTGTTTGATGATGTTCCCACTGTCAGTTTCCTCTGCTGAGAACACTGCCATCCACACCTCCCCCAGCCTCCTCCCTCCCTCCCTCCCTCCACCCTGGCCCCACCAACAATCTCCTTTGGTCCTTAAGATAGAAGCGCATCTATTTAGAGAAGCCTTCACCCGCCACCTCCATGGTCACTCTATCACAACACCCCACATTATTTATTTTATTCTGCTTCTCCTTTCCTTAAAATAACCTTTTATTATTTTTTTTCCAGTTTTATCGAGATATAATTGACTTGTGCAGCACAAACATAAGTCTGAGGTGTACAGCATAATGGTTTGACTTGCACACACCATGGAATGAGTACCACAATAAGTTTAGTGGACACCATCATCTCATATAGACACAAAATTAAAGAAATAGAAAAAAGATTGTTTTCCTTGTGATGAAAACTCTTAGGATTTGATTTATAGCGTACAGCAGTGTTAAGTATCTTTATCATGTTGTACATTGCATCCCTAGTAAAAAATAACATGATTATTACTTTCTGGCTTTCACTACATGCACTTAATTCAGTGCCAATTCTGTGCTGCCTAGAACACACCCTTAACTGCTGAGCGAATAAACTTTGCTGCCCGCTTTCTCTGCTGCAGATGGCGGACCTGCACGCAGTGCCCAGGGGCATGTATGACGGGCCGGTGTTCGACCTGACCACCACGCCCAAGGGGGGCACCCCCGCCGGCTCCACCCGGGGCTCTCCCACGCGGCCCAACCCGCCTGTGAGGAACCTCCATCAGTCCGGATTTAGCCTGTCAGGTGAGTCGGAGAAGCTGATGGTGAAGGTAGTGAACCGGGGAGGACGGAAGAGGGAGGGGAAGCTCAGCGCTGCGAGGTTAGCGGTGATGCCTGGAGCTAACCCAGATTGCCTTCTAGGGAGCCGGTCACGGGGCCGCAAGCTGGGAGGTTTGCTGAACCAAAGAGAAGTCCTAGTGGGAAAGGAAGCCAGGGCTCAGCCAGGTTAAAGATCAGGTTTAAGTGATGGCCAGTTCTGCTTAGAGATCACACCTGGCGGGGCCGGGGGCGGGGCGGGGCCCGGATGATTTCCTTATGAATTGAGTGTGATTTTCTGCGTTAGACAGAGAGCCCTGCAGTATGCTTTCTTTCCTTTGTTTGCCCAGGTTACCAGATAGCTCAGATTATTTTTATGCTCAAATTGCAGTAGCCTCTTCTAATCTAGGATTTTAATTCTACTCTCCCCTTCCTTGTCATGATGATAGTGCTAGCAATTACTGAACATTTACCATGGCCTAGCTGTATCATGAATCTTTAAGAACTATGATATTCATAGAAAATATTCAATTGCTCAATAACCAGTAGCCTTAAAATGGGGAAAAATAAGTGTAAGATTTGCATCACTATGTTGAAAATTGTAAATTTCACTATGTTGAAAAGTGAGGGAAATGAGATGACAAAAAAGGAAAGAGACATGTAAAGGGACAGTATCTGTGGGGAAGAAAGAGGAGGAAGAAGTGGGAGAAACAGGAAGATGGGGAGGAAAAGACATAACGGGGCCATAGGGGAGGAAGACAAAGGAAAAGTGCTAAAAGTTAAGGTGACGTTGTCAGAGATCACATGTGCTAGTTGCCAGAAATTTTTCAGTGTTTTTGCCATTTTTCGTTGCTGCCTGGCCACCTTCACCGGTAAACTTGTTTTGGCTCCTTTCTGAAAGGACATGAGTGCATATCATATCAGTGTTTCCTTTTAGCTGCGGCCCCAGGCCAGCCTATCACCACTGCAAGCTGTGAGACACTGGGCAGGTTGCCTAACCTCTCACAGCCTCAGTCACCTCCTCTGTAAAATGACGTAATAACAGTACCTGCCTCAAGGGTAGCGGTGAGGACTGAATGGAATGATCTGACGAGTATTTCAAACGTTGCTCGTCAAAACGAATGTGAGCAGCTATTTTTCATATCATTCCCGTTGTTCTTTTTATTATCATTGTTATGATGCCGAGGGCCCGATGAAATCCAGTTAAGACCCTGGTTTTTCCTGGCAAAGGCTTGTTTTCAGGATGGTGGGTATGAAAAGCCTGGAATAGCTGTGACAGACTGGAATGGAAGTTTCTTGGGAGATGAGGAAGGCATTTAATACCTTACACTCTTCAAATTAATGCATTGTCTCTCTTGTCCACACTCCCCTGTCTCTCTCCCTTTTTAATCCCTGGGAACTTATTGCCACCTGCAGGCACCCAAGTGGATGAGGGGGTCCGCTCGGCCAGCAAGCGCATCGTGGCGCCCCCTGGAGGCCGTTCTAACATCACATCCCTGAGTTAAGCGACCCCTCCCCCAAAGAGAGGGGCAGAAGCAAGAAGCGATTCTTTTGAAGCCAAAATGGTACACCAATATTTAAGAAGGAAAGTGAATCCAAACAGTTTCGATCTAAAGAATCAATAAGCCTAAAGCCTTATGTTTCTCCAATGTTAACGCTCGCTTGCCTAGCTTTACGATTATTGCTTTGTTTTCTGTTTATGCATAGCCTTGATTTGTTGGACGCCCCTACCCCCCATTTACATGCATGCAATCAGGCCACTAAGGTAAAAGCATCTGCTATATAGTGTTGAGAGCGTGTGTAGTGCTGCATCTTATGACAAGGGGACAGACAAAGCTGGGACGTCAGGAAAATGAACAAAAGGGACGCCAGTTATTTGGGGTTGAGTGGGTGGTGGGAGCCCAGAGCAAGGCAGAGGGCTCAGAGGGACTGGGGTAGGGTGTGTGCGGGGGAGGCGGGTGGGTGAGCATAAGGGGGTCTTGTGTATTGTGTTGATGAAGTAACGTTGATTTCCACGGAAGATGTCCACTCGGGGCAGCTGTCACGCCATCACGGTCCCCTGGGGTCCGCGGAGAAGGCAGGCAGTCTTCGGGTTCTGAACTTTGTCACATCCCCTCCTAGTAGATTTTATCCCTTGGAACATCTTATTAAAACACCAAAACACCAAAACCCAACCATTGCTTCCACCTGCTTTGTCGTGCCAGTGTTTGGTCGGGCCTTTTTCTCACTGTTGCTTTCAAATTCTTCTCTTTCCTGGGCTGGGAAGGAAGAGGGGAGAGAGGAAAGGACCTTTCTCTTGCTCTTACCCTCCTGCCTCTTTGGTGCTCTTAAAAGGCAGCAGCTGGGAGCACAGCACAGGCCCTGGGGGGAGGGCAGCCACGCTTAAATAGCGCCTCCCTCTAAACACGTGTTGGAGCTCACCTCTCACGGCTCTTTGCAAACCGAGGGAAGCAGGGGGCTTCTCGAGTTAGGACTGGAGCTGAGATGGGCTTCTCTTGCCAGGGGTGAGTGATTCTCTTGATCTCCTAAGATCCAGGCACATCCATGATTGAATATGATTTTTTTGTCATTATTGTTAAAAATTTGTTTGCTTAGGTGTTCCCTAGCTTTTATTACTAATAGGGAGTCTCAGCTCCTATGGGAGGCCAGCAGGGATGTGGGAAAGCCAGTCTGGAGCAGAAGGTGCATGCTCTGTGGCCGTGCTTCTCTTTGTCAATTCTGAACCATCTCTTTCCCCTTCCGTTAGCATATCCCTTAGGGGAACTTTTCGTTTTAGTACCAGAATCTCCCAGTGAGTGGAAGTGACATGACACGTAAAGGAAATTAGCATAAAGCATTAGCATCTACCTTGTCTGTCAGACATGAATGTCCAATTACCTATCATGCCACTTCTGAAAATTCAGTTTTGGAGCAAGTTCTGTGAGCCCAGTGAGAATCTGTAGAACCAAGAGGCCCATATGCAGGAAAAATAGATTCAACCTGGGATCAGATCTTCGGTGCTCAGGGGATCCAGCTGGTAGATCCCGCAACTCTGTGTACTAAGTACTTTCAAGAAAAGAGCAGGCCTCAAGCACCTTTCAGGTGCATGGGAGAAGCCATTATCTCTGCAAGTTTTAATAAGACCAGAGAAAAGGGGACACGTGGCTAAAAAGGAATTTGGAAATAGCCAAGGAAGAGGATTTCCCTAGCAAGCCACTTTCTGTTCTAATCATGAAAAAGATGATTTCCCTTCATAAAAAGAGTCTTGCTGTTTTTAAGGCTTTTTCATGGTGCCTTTATTTTAAGGGAAACGTAAGCGAAGTGGAGGATGTAGCTCTTGATTTATAACTCAAAGATTTGGGGGCCTGTAGTACAACAGAACTCAGAATGACAGTTTTGCAAGCAGAGGAGCTAGTCGGATCTGAAGCATCTGTATATATGCCTCATTGGCTGGGCTGGGCTTTAGGATACGTTGCAGTACCATCTATAACCACCAGATGGAGGAAAAGACACGTATATGACTCTAGCCCGAGCATCCACTTGTGTGCCCTCTGCTGCTCTTACCCGGCCTGAGTCCAGCCCATCCTCCCCATGACCTCTCTGTGCTTTGAAAAATAAATCTTTCATGGCCAAGCTGGTTGCACTTGGGACTTCTGAATAAAACACTCAAGCAGAACTTTATATTCTACACAGGTTTTCTATGCTGTAGGAACAACCCCTATATGTCTTCACGATGGGCAACAGGATCTGAGGAACTCTCCCTGTCTTCACGTACTATTAGTAACTTTCCAAGCGTAGAAAGTTCTGAGAATTCCAAGAAAACTCCCACCATATTCTTGACTTTGATTTCTGATGTCTTGTTACTTAAGTTAAAATTTATATTCAAATGTGCCCTGTTCGATGAGACCCGTTAAAGAGCCCCGTCCTAAGGGTTTAGGAAGAGAACATGGCGGTGAGTCACAGCCCTCTCAGAATTCCCTGGCATCTCATCCGCGTGTGGGAGGCCATGCCGGGTCTTCCGTCTCCCCCAGGCTTTCTTTTGCTGTCTCATCTCTTGGCCTGGCCCCTCTCTAAGGGGGGGATGGCAGTCACCTGGGCTTCTCTCTGGGATGGCCACCATCTTGGGTAGTTGAGAAGGTATTAGGAGAACTGTTAAATCAGCTGCCCCACTAGAGATATTTCCTCTAAGTTTTCTGAAGATGGCAGTGTTGTAGTTATCCCCAGAATGGGTTTCTTCAGAGTCCAGTCATCCTATGGCCTTTTTCTTCATGACTCCACGCAGAGGGTCATGCTCTGCTCCACAGGCCTCAATCCCAAGCCTGCACCTGGGCTCCCCCTGAGAAATCTTCCCAGCAGCTTCCTGCCACAGCTTCTCAGGACTTCTCCCCTGGAAAACTCCAGCTCGAGTCCCAGTGTACACATGAGCTGTCCTGAGCAGCCAGCATCCCTTTTAAGTTCCCTCTTTGGAAATGGTGTGTGGGTGTTCAGTTGTGTCTGGTGACTGTGGACAGACAGTTAAATCTTCCTGTGATCTGTGGTAGCTGTGAGGCAGCTCTGGAACGCGAAGAGCTGTTTGCTTTGAACCGTGAAGAAAACTGTGTTTTGAGTTTAGCTGAAATTAAGAAAAAAAAGTTCATCAAGTGACTGTTCATGTAAACCTGGTTATTAAAATAACTATAAAATCGCAGCTGTCGTTGTGTAGCCTTCTTCTGTGTGTGTCATGCCGGTCGACCTAAAGGGTGACGACTGCACCATAGAACTGACAGGGTTATTAGTAAGAGGGCACATCTGATGTAAACCCTGAGAAAATTTGGGAGTTTTCTCTCTTTTCAGTTGAGCTTGAGGTTTTGTTTTGGCCACAGAGTTAGATGACCATTATTAAAACTTCGGGGAATAACTAATTTTTTTAATGTTCATCAAATTTAGCATTAATGTACAAGGCCATTTGGGATAAATCTAGTTGAGCACAGAACAGATCCTGAAAAGTTTTGTTTTGGGTTTTTTGTTTAGGTCATCCCCTTAAAGCATTTTCTGCTTCTGTCTAAAAGCTTGGACTTTGAGAAATTCAAACAAAGCATGTTTCACAGTATATTCTTTAGCAGACTGTTCCCAAGGTGTCTAATGAGTGTGGGGAAAGGATTGTTTACTATAATAATCTGAGAGATTTAAAGTACATATCATCAAGTTAAAGGCTCTGAGAAATTTTATGTCTTTCAAAATGTGTCCACCTTCTAAACCATCTTTTACACGCTGCCAAACCTGTTATACTAAACCCTTTTGGGGAAACACTCCTGGATCCAATTAGAATTTATGCAGGGCATTTTTCATTGCAAATGTTAGACGTGTATAGGCAAAGAAAAAATTTTGGAAAGGGTTTTTTGAAGTCTGGTGTAACTGAAAACTTCAGGGATAGATTTGGGTAGATTGAAACATAGCTGGATCGAGAATATTGTTTCTCTCCATCTCTTAGCCCTGCTTGCCCTTATAGTAAGTGCTTCATTCTTAGGAAAGCTCTTTCCGTGTGGGAGCAGAACTGACCAGCAGCGCCTCCAAGTTTGCATTTTTTACCTGCTTAAGAGATTTCAGGGGGAGAGAGGTTCTCTCCTGCGTGCCAGCCAAGGAGACGGATTCTGATTGGTCCGGCTTGGTCACGTGTTCACCATTGACCTCGGCACTGTGGCCTGGAGACTGGCACTGATTGGCCACACCTGGTAACACACCCGGCCCCTGAGCCACCTGAACCACGTGGACTCTCCGTAACTCGAAGAACATCAATTTGTGATCCCAGAAGAGGAGGGCATGGATGCAAGGCAGATAAACACAGCAGGTGGCCACGGCAGCATTCTCAAGCCTGCACGGCACGACTGTTTTCTCAGCACAGTATCTGTGTGTAGCCTGGGGCAGGTGCGGGAGAGGATCAGGGGATGGTAATTCCTGGTGAATTGCTTTTACGTGTGGTGAACGACCAGGTGAAACCACGTCAGAAGCTACTCTGAGCGTGTAAGGAATTATTTCAGTTTGACGTTCAAGGTTTGATGATTAAGAAGCCTTTGCCCATAGTCGCATTTTGTGGCTTGAACTCAGGACTGGTGAAACACCTCTTCCTGCTCATGACCATGGCAGCAGCTGAGCTCTGCTTAGGATAAGCTTGGGTGTAAAGGGCAGGGTCAGTGCTTAAAATGATCTCAGCCTGCAGGGCTCTAAAAGGGATGAAGCAGGTTTTTTTGTCTTTGTTTTTGTTTTTAAGTTAGTGCAATTCACACATTGACTTTCACACCTCTGTGGACTGGAGGTATTCAGGGCCGAGTCACATCCACCAGGTGGGGAATGAGAACACTGAATAGGAATAACAAGGTCCCTCTGGTTTTGAAGAACTTTCTGGAATCAACTCCATTACCATCAAGCTATCACAAGGATATCACCAACCATGAGCAGGAAATGGGATGAAAGGGCCAAAGCAGCCTGCAGGAATGAGGTTCTCCAAAAGTTCACAGCTGTCTGTTAACCTTCCTGTCCCGGGATATGG